TTAAAAAGTTCAAGTACCCTTTGACCTATGGCCCTGGGCACCTCACCCCTCCCCCCCTTACACATAACTATTATGATGACACTGCGTTATGTTGCTGTAATAGTCCTAGTGAGGGTGACTCCATCTCCTGTAAGCCAGTTAACTAGAAGGAAGAAGCGCAAGAAAAAGCCCACGCTGACACAGCTGATCACTCTACCTAAGCAGGCCCTTTGCCTTCACTCGGACTCTCATTTATCAACAACTAGCCAGCAAGTGCCCTAGGAGACAGTGGGGAACCACTGATGACAGATCAGACCTGGTGCTGAGATGAGGTCAAGCACTTGGGCGACACCGGGGGATTCAGAACCCTGGGGCAGGACTTGGGCCAGGTAAGAGCCTGCTCTGAACAGTCTCAGCCGGCAAGTTCTGGACCAAGTGCAGGCCCGCGTGTCGCACACCCAGCTGGGCAGACTGCACTGGGCACTCGCCTTCGCTGAATCTCTTCCCTGCCCAGCTGAGCAGACGGCACAGAATGACCGCTACTGGGTCTCTGTGGCACGAGGGTGATCATGGGCAGATGCAGGCAGCCACAGCCACAAGGGGGTGTGACAAGGCTGGGGCTGTGAACAGCTCCTGGCGTAGAGTCCAGGGGTGACGTGTGCGAGGGACACACCTCCTTCCTTTCACGCCTCGCCCTTCCTGGCTTCACGTCCCAGGAAAAGGCTACAGAACCAGGAATCCGGTGCTACCTTCTGCTGAGGAGGAGGAGGGAGAGGAAAGCACAAGGGCTCTGAGGTGCGGTGGCATGCGAATTTTGCTCGTCCCTTTCCAGGCTGTGGGCCAAAATGAAATCCACTTAAGAAGCTGGAATTTAGGGTCCTTCTTCAGGCTTTAAACGATTTTAGCTCAATCAGGTGATTTCATTTTTATTATGAGGGTGCACTGGACACAGAGCAGTGGAATCTTTCATAAACAGAACACTGCATTTAGGCATCAAGAGGAACTGTCTGGAAAAGACAGCCGTGTGGATCTCTGTCCCTGGTGGGGACAGGAGCCTCCCAGCTCCTCAACAAAATCTTCACAGAGCCAAATTAATGTAAATAGCATGAAAAAAGCATTACACAGACTTTGAGGGAAAGTGGGAAAACCAGAAAGAAACTTCAGAGTAGGGTGGTTTTTACTTGTTTCATAGAGTACGAAGTCTAGAAGTCGTCCTGAATTTACAGAGAAGTCAGACCTCGTGGAGACAGGGACCAGTCCGCAGACCTGCTCACAATACCCAGGGAGCGTAGAGGACACAGGAAGAAGCTGTTACCACCACCTGGAGGCCATGAACACGAAGCGCTTCCAGAAGAACTTCTACAGGAGGCTCAGAGGGGACTTCTGTGGCGTATTTACGTTCAAGTTTATGATCTAGTGGGACACAGATTCATGTGCTTGTGGCCACATCAAGTTTGCTTTGCCATAAAACTGGGGAAAACACTTTTGAGACGGCAGGTAACTTAAACAGTTTAGGTAACAAATACAAACAACGTGGAGAAGCTGGGCTCTGCCGTCACCCTACAGACCTGTGACGTTCAGGGTGCGCACCTGTCCCTTCACCAGACACACTCCATGGCCACGATCTGCTTGCCTGACTCCTCAGCACTGTTCATCACAGTAACCACTCTGCCCAGCACTGAAATGCCCAATAAATAAAGAACACAGTACTTGCTTTCTACAGTAATTAATTGTGCCTTGCCTAAATTAAGCCTGCTTCTTTAAGTGTGAGGAAATAAGTGGCTATATAACAGAGCACACAGAAATAAATGATTATCTCATTTAATAATGAACCGGGACCAATAATAAAATTTGTCTGCCTGTTGTTCCTTAGTTGCTGCTCAGTCAAGTAGCCCAATTTGTTAACGGACTACATTAAAGATCTAATTGAATTAAATAGTGACCAAGGCTCAGAGACCTATGGAGAGCACTTTGTTTAATTATAGGCAGGGACAAGCACAGATTCTATTGATCTGGTCAGTTAAAATTCTATAGTGAACGTGGGCAAAGAAAAAATAAATGCGGCCTCCACTGCGTTTAAGCAACTTGGATGAACTACGCATTCAGAGCCGCTGTCGAGACAGCAAGCCAGCCGTGCCGCACGGCACCACAGGGATGAACTCGGCACTGCACTGCGCTGCTCTGCAGAACTAAACATGGGCGACAGCGAACAATGACAACCACAGAGGTTCCTTCTCGGGGAGATGAGACACACTGGGGGTGGGGCAGGTATCTGGTGCCGCACTGAAGACGCCACTTGGAACCCTGGCACCCCACATGGCATCTCATACTGCATCCCATTTCAGAGGGCCTGCATCTGACTCCTGGCTCTCCTCTCGACTCCTACTAATGTGCACTCTGGAAGGCAGCAGGTGATGGGCCCCATCACCTACATGGGAGACCTGGATGGAGTTCCAGGATCCCAGCTTTAGCCTGGCCCAGACCCAGCAGTTGTGGGCCTTTGGGGAGTGAACCAGCAAACAGAAGATGAACCAATCTGTGTGACTGTCTCTCTGCCTTTCAAGCAAAACAAAGGAGGGAAATACACTGAAGAGATGGTGGTGGGCATGTCTTTTAGCACTGCAAGTCTAATAAACTGGCATTGTTATCTCAAAAATTCTTTTGAAACCCACAACTGTCTAAAAATAAAAAGAAATAATTTATTAATGGGCATGCATACAAATTTCAAGGACATTTCCAGTTGAGAAATAAATACAAGTTCCTCAATATTCTATTATTTGGAAGTAATTGAAACACAAATATAAACCATTCAAGAGGTAACTCTGGATTTTATCCTAAGCAACTGCTACCTATTTCTGGAGCATTTACTATGTGCCAGGCATCGTCTAACTACGCTATGCATATTACTCCTGCCCTGGGGACTGCATTATCTCTACTTTATGGCCGAGTACAGTGAGGCACAGAGGAGTCACGGTGACCTGGCAGGTCAGGCCCAAGCCCAGGCACACACTGTAGCTCCACCACACCATGCCACTGTTAGCAGGGATGCCCAGAGCTGGAGAAAACATGGAAGTAAGGCAGCGGGAGGGCAGTTTTTTTATTTTGTGCTAGTCACAATCAAAGGGCTGACTTGTGCTTTAGTAACTCAAGTCAGAGGAGGAAATTTATTCTAAGTCACATATGTAATTATACCGAAAGCAACACTTCCTTCACGACACATGCACCATCAGAGAGCACACACCTAATTAGCGCATTACTCATAACAATCAAGGAGGGCAGCCAGGAAATTACAGGTGGCGTGGGCCTTGGTGCTACGTCAGTTTCATCAGGTTGCCCAGATAAAGCCCTTGCTGACTGGCAGGATCTGCACCTGCTGAGGCGAATGTGGGACACGGCAACCGATACAGCTGGGTTCTGAAAATGTGCTTCTGTGTGAGAGGTCAAAACCACACAACGTTTAGATCTGAGAGGTGGGAGTGCTGGCCTCTTAATTACGGTATTAGCCATAAATAAAGGAGAGAGTTGATGGCGTTCAAAAATAGTCATTTCTTCCATGTTTAAGCATAATGGTGCAGTAACTTGCACAGGGATTAAAAACAATCGTCTACGCAGGCTGACGTTACTGATGAAGTTATTTCCAAGGTATCTTTAGAGGCAGGGAAGAAAGAGCAATGCTGAAGGATTCGGAGACCTACTAAATAGCTTTTTCTCGAATTCGACTTGATCTGTGTGCAAAATTATCCATCGGAGCATGAGGAAGCAAGCTTCTGTATGGCGAAGATGGAGAAACAGAGCGCACAGGCCTAGCGCATCAAAGCGAAGTCCCTGACTGCAGAACTCACTGCCTCACCCTTTCAGTCACACACATCGAATTCACAGCCAAACAGAGGGGCTCCTGGAGAAAAGAGCTCCACCTGGGAAAACTGAGTGCTGCAACAATTCTGCCAAGTGTTTCACCTCCCCCAGGAACGGATGCTACGCCCTCCAGAGAGTACTCCTCACCCAGTGCTGACTCGAGGGTGAACACCTGGGCACAGGTGCACACACAGGAGGGCCCTTCAGAAAGCTCATGCAATAACGGGATTAAGAGAACTCTGGGAGAGGGCATTCAGCCTAGCAGTTAGGATGTCTGCTCTCACAGTGGAATGCCTGGGTTTGACCCCTGGCTGTGGCTCCTGAAGCCAGTTTCCTGCCAGTGCAGACTGTGGAGGGCGGCAGTGACGGCTCACGTAATTGGGTTCCTGCTACCCACGTGAGAGATCTGCATTGCATTTCCAACCTCAGCCGTGGTTAGGGGTTGTTGCAGGCATTTGGGGAGTGATCCAGTGGATCCCTAACCCTTTGCTTCTCAAAAAAAATTCTAACAAAAAAAGAACTTTAAAAATCTATAAAAAGTTTTTTCATAATATGCACTTTACAACTTTCTGAAGATCCATCATGGATTTCAAAAATTTTTCACTAAAATTCACTTATCCTTTGACTCCATTTCCTGCATACATTTTGAAGTCTATACACATATACAAGCATGCTTGCATTACATGTACTCATAGGTACACACAGAGGCACACACGCACACGATTATTTTAACTTCAGTAATTTTGCACTGGGAAAATTGATATCTCACCTCAGATTTGGTGTAGATAAGTGAGAGCATTTACCTCTAATATTAATACATACTTCACAGAAAAAACTGAGAGGGGGAAATCTATATATGCATTTCCAAGTTACAAGAATGTTATTAATCAATTTTAAAGGAATCCTTCAGCTGAGTGTGGGGAAGACGCACACAGCCTGGGTGCAAGCCAAAGAATCACTGCCTTCACGGAATTTCACCAACCACTTAAAGATTTCAGAGAAAAAAAAGTTTTTAAGTCTTACCTCTATAAATTAGTGTTTCAAGAGTGACTTCATAACAAGAAAGGGGAGGTGCCTGCCAGCACTACAAATGCCACTCCATCCTGGGGCTGCCCTGGCTCTGTGTGCCAGTCGGGAGAGGCCTGGCACAGGGACGTGGTGCTCACCCTCCTCCGGAGCCGGTCCCGCTCCTCCCGGACGGCATTCATGGTGGCCTTGGTCCGGTTCAGCTCCTCTTCCTTGCTGCACAGCATGGCAGTGAGGCTCTCATTCTCTTCCCTCAACCCAGCCAGCTCCTTCTCCCATCGACACCGCTCCTCGGCCAGGTTGGGATACAGCTCCCGGCCTAGCACCCCCTCAATCTCCTCGACAGTCTGCAAAACATGGAAACAAAGAGGAGCCGAGTGGGTTACCTTGGAGATGGGGGCCCTCCAGAAAAGGAGCAGCGCGGAGCAGGTGCCCACAGGAGAGTGGGTTCCTGCCAACAGCCATGAAAAGTGACACCCCCAAATCACCCTCTCTCCAACTTCCATCATGCGCCGGGCCACGGTCTGTTAGCCAGCGGTCCTCAGAGTTAGAAAAGCACAGGGGTCCCCTCCTGGGGTGTGAGCCTGTGTGATGCTGACCACCATGTTCCTACAAGTAAGGGTCCCCTCCCTCCGTCATCTGGACTCCAGGGTAGTGAAGACAGCCAGCGGCAGGCCAATCACTGCTCCCGAGGACACAAGACCACACAAGGCTGCACAGTGCAGGCGAATCTACGAGGTTTCCTCAATGACAGGCCTCCCATTTGCCAACTCAGCAGTACTGCAGGTCACGGAACCACCTCCAGCTTTCACTGTCACATCAGAATTCAGAGGGTGTGAATGAGGTTCAGTCCAAAGATGTGAACGACAGAAATAAACCTCCGTGACACAGAAAAGAGCAAGTTCATTGTGCAGGTTTCCAAGACAGCAGGGACTCAGTAAGACAGCTACACACTAAAAAGGGAATCTGCACTGGAGAGTTCTTAAAATGTCCTTTAAAATACACTAGTAACGGAGAAGAACATGCACAAAGTTAAAAAAAAAAATACCTCATTCTGCTTGTTCTCAGACTCTTCATTCACATAACGTCCTTGGAAGAGTCACTGATTTTGAAACAGGAGGAAAATTACTATGCATGATAGGTAGAGAGGAGGGGTGACGAGAAACAGAAGGTCCCGGACGCTACCAACACAAGGGCACAGCACTCTCTGACGGTCATATTAGGCTTCTGATGAAGACAATCACCCAGGGGCCAGCACTGTGGTACAGTGAGGTGAGCCTCCGCCTGCAACACCGACATCCCAGTAGGCACCAGTTCAAATCCCAGCTGCTCACTTTCGCTCCAGCTCCACTGTGCCTGGAGGGGCAGTGGAAGATGGCCCAAGTGCTTGTGCCTCTGCACCTACGTGGGAGATGTACATGCAGCTCCTGGCTCCTGGTTTCAGCCCGGCTCAGACCTGGCTGTTGCGGCCATTTGGGGAGTAAACCAGGAGATTGAAGATCTCTCTCTCTGTCTCTCCCTCTCTTTGTAACTCTGCCTTTCAAATAAAATAAACAAATCTTTTAAAAAAGAGATAGTCACCTAAACCTTGCTGCCACTCTGCCCACACTGAGCTCTGTCCCTCCTTTCAGATCCCTTCCTGGGCCCTGCTTCATCCTTTGTGGCTGCCAGAGGTCCTTGGCCTCCTCTCTCCCTCTCAGGGCTGAGGCTGGGGCCATACCCAAGCTGACACCATAATCTAATATGGGACCTGGGAGACTCCAGACAAGGAAACACAGGAGTCTGCGTCTCGGCACCCTAAACCACATCAACTACATATCTGGAGACAAGACAGATCTTCTGTGAAATCCAGGATTCCTGTGGACAGACACTCAGTCTAGATATTCCTGCTGCACAGTGACTATGGGGAAAGATACCAGAGGCCCTGCGCTAACAGAACACGGCTTCCCATTGTAGTGATGAGCTTGGGCAGATGCAGAAAATCCTTCAGCTGGTCCTTCTTACGCAGTTAGATAAATGCTCAGACAAGGTACGGCCTAGGCCCAGCCCCAGAACGGGGGACAATGACTCAGTCGGGCCCAAACCTGCCCCCTTGTTAGCACTGGGAATCGGTGACTCCTTAAGGCTTCACAATAAAGCTTCCAACCGCAGCTTGCAACCTCGGAGTGCTGTGCGATGAACCACACTGAAACGATGTGGCACACTTGCAGTCCAACAGCCTAAGCAAACTGTCGTCCTGCTGCGAAGCCTCGGATCTTGACTACTGATACAAGGATTGTGTCTAACACAATTCAGCCCAACAAGAATTTAGAGGGCTCCTGCTCCCACCTGGTGGCCCACGGCTTTCACAGAAACAGCCCGAATCAGAGGAGGAGGGATCTGGTCGTCGTCCTTTATGATCGCAAAGGCCAGAGTGAGGGTGAGCAGGGTGAGCAGGGGTCTACCTTAATAGCCAGGTCGCAGTGCTCGCTGGCCGTGGTCAGCTGCTCGATGTGCCTGTCCACCTCGGCCACCGACAGGCTGCAGCTGCTCTTCTTCCTGCCGCACACCACGTTCTCCAGCCCCGTCAGCACCCTCTGCAGCTCCGAGTTCAGGTCACTGCAATTGTCTGCGAGCGAAGGACACAACGTGAGAGGCGGGCACGAGGGAAACGCACGCCGCGGGTCTGCCTGCCAGGAGGGACCCTGCAGCCACCGGAACTCCAGGGCGCTTCACTCAGACTTCAGCACCACCCGCCCAGACTTCACAGGCCGCTGACCCGGTCCCCGAGGCTTGTGGCGGATGTGAAGTGCGTTAGGAAGGGGCTTCAGACCACAGTCATTTCCCAGACAGGGGCTTCAGACCACAGTCATTTCCCAGACAGCGGCACCACCCGAATGCTCTGCTTTCTCAGCCCAAAGCAGCCACAATGGGGCTAGTACTGTGGCACAGCAGGTAAAGCCACCGCCTGCAGTGCCAGCATTTCATAAGGGCGCCGGCTGCTCTGCTTCCCATCCCGCTCTCTGCTGTGGCCTGGGAAAGCAGTAGAAGATGGCCCAAGTGCTTGGGCCCCTGCACCTGTGTGGGAGACTGGGCAGAAGCTCCTGCCTCCTGGCTTCGGATCAGCTCAGCTCCTGCTGTTGTGGCCATGTGGGGAGTGAACCAGCGGATGGAAGACCTCTCTCTCTCTTCCCCCTCTCTCCTCTATCTGCTGCTGCCTCTCTGTAACTCTGCCCTTCAAATAAATAAATAAATCTTAAAAAAAAAAAAAAGCAGCCACATCTTGAGTTTTCTTCAGTAAAAACAAACAAGTGTCCCAGAAGGGCTGACGGCATATCAGAAGCCTTCTGGTCAACTTTCCTCCTCCGCCATCCAGACAAGCAGTGACTCACAGAGAGTTCAGCCGAGTCCTTAACTAGAAACCTAACAAACAGCCCCAGAAGGAGCAGATATTTATAATATGATAGGCATTTTAACGAGCAGAAGTAGTGTGAGAAACAGTTGTTGCCCTCAGAAAAGCTTTAAAAATCTGGACTTCCCCCAACCCCCAATTAGCAATTTGTGTTCTCCTAGCATGAAACAGTAACAAGCGGTTCAATACATTCTGCATTGTTCTTCAAGTAAATGCCTTGGAATCAATTTTAATAATTTGATCTTGAATTAAAAATTTGATTTATCTTTAACTACTAGATATCCAAGGTCTCGTCAAGGAAGGAAAATTAATTAGAATTGTAACATGAGCTAGAGATAGTCCTTGGAAGACAACTCTCTTGGGGAAAAAGTTCTTTTAAAGTCAAATGCAAGTTTCTTAACCTGCCAATTTGAATTCTGTGTTTCCCGCGCCATTTACCTACTGTCTCACGACAGGTGCTGACGGCATGCTGTCTCTCAGAGTATCTGTTCCCTACCTCCAGTCTGGTTCCTGTACAAATGCTTGTCTTCCTTCTCATCACACGCACTGAAATGGCCAATTCCTTTTCCACGCCCACTGTTGGAAGACTTCTGGAAAACTCCTGCGCTACAGGAATAGGATTCCTCAGAATATTTTAGCCCCATTTTACCTAAATCTAGAGAGAAGACTGTCATTCCAGGCAATGCACACAACTATAAGTCCACCTACTGCCTGCTCCTCTAGGATCTCTTCCGTCTCTCGGGATGGCAGCCTGCCTCCCATTTACTCAGATGAACTTGAGGGTACCCTGATGTTCTTCTGCCCCACATTGTAAATCCCATCCATCTCGTGACCACAACCACCAAAACTGACCTCTTCTTACCATCTCCACAGATACCACCATGGTCCCAGCCATCATCCTTCCTCAGCTGGTTTACTCCCCAGGCCACAGCCACAGTGAGCCTCTACAAGACTGGAATCTGACCACGTGACTTTCCTAGTCCAAAACATCTAGTGGCTTCCCATCATCATTCAACCAAGGCCGAACTCCTTGCCAGAGTCTGTAACACTGCACCACGGAATTCCCTGGGGAGCTTTCTATAGAAACCAAGATACAGACCACACCCTGGGCCAATTCAACCACAGTCTTTCGGGGGTGGGGCTTGCACACGGAAAATTTCCTTTAGTTTCTCAGGTAACTCTAACATGCAGGCGTGAGAAGCTCTGATCTGGCCCTGCCTCATCTGTCTGTCTTCCTGAGCTCACTAGGCTCGTTTCATACCTCTGGGCTCCCCTCTATGCCTGGAACATGCTAAAAATACCCGCCTTTTCCCTGCTGTTTCCTGTGTCTATGATAGATTTCCACCCGAATTTCCACTCTCATTCAGCTTTCTCAGCTCAAATGCCACCTCTTCCCCAGGCTCTTCCCTCTTCAAAGCATGGGGTTCCGCCTCCTCCTCTGCCCAGCTCTGAGCCCATTATCCAATTTTCTTATGGCAATTACCCCTATCTGATCTGACTTCTGTGTTTCTCTCTCTCCTGCTAACACATGAGCTCCAGGAAAGAAGGGATCCTGGTCTTCCTCACCCCTGTATCTCTAACACAGAACAGTGCATTTACGTAATCAAAAGTTGTGAAATGAGCAAACAAACTTACATCACAAACATATAAGAAACAGTGAGACCAGAACGCAGAGGTGGTCAACAGCAGCGTGGTTCACACAATCAATGCTTTTGGCCAGTGCCGCGGCTCACTTGGCTAGTCCTCTGCCTGCGGCGCCGGCACCCTGGGTTCTAGTCCCGATTGGGGCGCTGGATTCTGTCCCGGTTGCTCCTCTTCCAGGCCAGCTCTCTGCTGTGGCTCTGGAGTGCAGTGGAGGATGGCCCAAGTGCTTGGGCCCTGCACCCCATGGGAGACCAGGGGGAAGCACCTGGCTCCTGGCTTCGGATCGGCGCAGTGCGCCAGCCGTAGCGGCCATTTGGGAGTGAACCAATGGAAGGAAGACCTTTCTCTCTGTCTCTCTGTCTAACTCTGCCTGTCAAAAAATAAAAAAATAACAATCAACGCTTTCTTCCTCATGATGTCACGGTGGATCCCACCCCAAGCAGGACGGGCGGCAGGGACGACTCGCGGCTGCAGAGGCCTCCAGAGGGGGGCAGGTGCAGCCATCCCTGAAGGCCACAGGGCCCTGGTGAGAAGCCAGGACAGGGGACCAGCGTTCCAGGTGGTACTTCACTGACGAGGCACTCATCGTGCCTCAGGAGCCTGAAATACCAGCGAGCTTCCTTTGGTGTCATCAGCACCCTTGATGGTGTTTGGAAGGGGCTCTGTGCTCCCCATCACATTCCAACCCACTAGTTAGGCAGGCCAGCCTCACTCCACAGAGGAGACACCTTTGGTTAACTCACCCACTGCCGCGTGGTGCGTGGGCAGCAGAGCTGCAGCCGCAGTGCTGGCCCTTCCACAGCCAGGGCCACCTGTGCTACACAACTCCACCCCGGTATAAGGACCTTCGGGCGTTAAGCACAAGTCAGATCACTCAAGTGCAAATGAAACTCACTGACAGCCATTACTTCCCAAAGGAGTCAAACAGGAATAGAAATCACAGTTAAGTGAGGAACAATGGCTCTAAAAAGACAAGCATGTAAATTTTAATTTCTAGAACAACCAGTAAAAGAATTACGCTAAGAAGTTAAAAGTCAACAGATAAATTAAAATGGAATTTTAAAAAATTTAGCTGATCTAAAAGAAGGAAAAATGAAGGAATAGAAGAAAAAGATCTAAGGAGGGACAAAAGGAAAACACATAGTAAACTGTTCCTATAGTCTCACTTTTTAAAAACAACTGTGGGTAGAAGAGCAAGAAAAGGAAAGAATCCGAGGAACTAGAGGACCTAAGTGACTCTTTGGAAACCCTGTGGGCTCCTTGTTGCGGAGCTGCAGCGAAGCGCAATGCGGAGGCAGGCCCGGCTGTCTCACCCCGGGCGAGGCTGCCTGTGCCTCTGAGGTCCTCTCTTCCAGAACAGCCCACGTCCCCTCCATAGAGACGCGGGCGGCTTTCCACAAGCACACGGAAGGGGCACACAGAGACTGGGGCCAGGGAAGGGCTGCAGAAGCAATGGAGGCTAACAGCTGCTGGGGCAGACTCTTGCAGTTAGGCCCACGCTTCCCGGCAGCCAGAGCAAACACCCATCCTCTCCTGTCATTTCACAGGCAGTAGCGTCGGGAGAGTGTTTTTGGTAACGGAAGCTAAATGAATTTATGGACGTGGGACATTCCATGTGACACGAAGCACCGTGACAGCGACTGTCCTCAGCCAGTTTCACACACATGCAGACCTCATGCAGTTCTCTTCTACTAACCCTCAGCTACAATTACAACTGTACGTCACTAAGCACAGGGTGGAGGGGCTTCTGGGGAAGGCTATTCCGTGTTCTTGGCATTTGGTGTTTGCTGTAAAGACGAAACGGGACACAGAAAAATAAGTGGAGTGAGCCTCTCTTTGATCAGAGGATGCAAACCAGCCACCTGCAGCCAAACGTGCGTTTGTATGTCTGTCAGTTGTGGTGTCTCACATGGTCTTCTTAATCGTTAATTTTAAAAAATATTTTATTTGAGAGAGTGAGAAAGAAAAGAAAAAAGAGAGAGAAAAAGAGAGAAAGAGAAAAGAAGGAAAAGAAAGAAAAAGAGAAAAGAGAAAAGAGGAGAGGAGAGAAAAGAGAAGGGTCTTCCATCGGTTCACTCCCCAAATGGCTCCAATAGCCAGGGCTGGGCCAGACCCGAGGGAGGAGCCTGGAACTCCATCTGGGTCTCCCACGTGGGTGGCAGGGGCCCAAGCACTTGGTCTATCGACTGCTTTCCCAGGCATATTAGACGAGAACTGGAGCAGCTGGGACATGAACTGGCACCCACATGGGATGTCAGCGTCTAGGCAGTAGCTGAACCTGCTGAGCCATGACACTAAATTTATTTTTTTAACACAGTTTTTGAATTGTCAACATTTTCAAATTACTGGAAGGCCTGGTAACAGGGACCCTGCACCACAGCAGTCTGTGAGTGGTCAGCGGCTGCCTCTGGATTTTTTGTGTCCACGGCCCTCCTTGGCTCAGCTTATTCCCCACAGGGGTGCTAGCTGCCACCTTTGGGTTGTGTGGCTCCCTGCCTTTTGCAATCTTTTCTAAAGGTAGCTTTTAGTAGGAGCCGGAGAACAGTCAGCTCAGTTTTGGTTTTTTTGTTGTT